CACCCAACTACCCCACCCACGTCTTCCCTAGCAAACTAGGGGCTCCAGACCACAGTTTACCTGGAGGTGATGCCAGTGAAGGGAAGGACGCTCCCGCTGGATCTCCTACAGCCAAAATGAAGCCAATATTTGACATGGCCTCATCGGAAACAATAATATATGCAGTGCACAATGAAATGTTTACATAAATCACATTGATGTATCAATGAGAAAATTTTCCTCGTGGCTCCTACTGACTTTCGAATAAATGAAGTTCTCACAGGCAGCTTTCACACAAGGACAAATGAAGATTATAGCAGAGGAGTTAGTTACCTTATTGGTCAAGAAGCTGTGAAGGACTCATGTAACTGAAGCTTTTAACTGCTCTTATTTGACAAATAACACTTACAAGACAATAGCAATTGATAAAAGGTAAATTAGTCCTGGCAGTAATATACAACATATTGCTTAACAGTCACTATCCACAGTCAAATATATTGGCGAAAATAAACACTTCAATTACACATCTGTAAGTAATTATCAAAAGAAGACGGGGAGACTACGTAGCTTAGATATCTTTAATGTCCTTATAAGGTACTTTTGCTTACAATGACGACTGACTCTCGTTAAAGGACCCACAAGATTGAAAAGAAGCAAACCAGGTTGGGCCCGATATTCACTCAGAACAAAACAAGTGACGGGATACCAACTCTCAAGCCCCATAGAAGCAAAACCTGTTGTTGTTGTTGTTGTTTAAGATTCGCTACTTGGATCAAAAAGTTCCAAGTAGCACGGGCTATGGTGAGCCCGTTGTGGACTTACCTGGCACAGGAGCGGGGCTGTAACCGAGCAAAACTTAATTAGCTAGGTTAATGTACCCAGTGGGAGAGGACGTGAAGGACAGGTGACAGGAGAGGACGTGAAGGACAGGTGACAGGAGAGGACGTGAAGGACAGGTGACAGGAGAGGACGTGAAGGACAGGTGACAGGAGAGGACGTGAGGGACAGGTGACAGGAGAGGACAGAAGGAGGCTCGCATACAAACAACGGGGCTATGAAGAAATTGGACAATTAACGTTAAGGATTCAACTGGACGTTGAAGTTAGTGACATTCCTTCTCATGTCGCGATAAACAACAATTCCCAATGGTGTAAAAAAGCTGCCGACAGACTTATTCCCGCCCAAAAAGGATAAAGTGATATGTAGAGAAAGAACATGTGGTCTGACCTACAATGTAATAAAGCTAAAGTCTAAAGAGAATGGTAAAAATACGAACAGAAAAAGGCTGAGATATTGTAAAAGAACAGCTAATTAGCCTGAAAAAGGATGGGACCAGTTCATTAAAAATTATAACTACGTACATAACTCAACAGAAGATTTCAAAAGAATTTCACAACATAGAAAAGACTATAGGGGGGGGTAGAAATAGCCTAAGCTACTCTATCCCTTTGAGATGTATTTCTTTCTTATCTCAATAAACATACTTGAACTTGAACTATAACAGAAAGACTGTTTGATTGAAAGACTGTTTGACTGTTTTGACTGAAAGATTCAAAGACATTGAATCACTGTTGGATTCAATGACTGTGCAACTATGGAGAGCAAGGAAATTGAATATAAATAATTACTGAAGTTGTTAAGATTCGGGCACAGGCATCGGCAACAGGCAACATCCGACCAATCACACTGAATAAAAGATCTGAAGACATAAGTATGCCACGTGCTCAGATATACAGCAGACCACTGCAGACACGAGAGCAGACCACCGCAGACAGGAGACATACCAGACAAATGGAAGACTGCCAATGATGAACCAATGTTTAAACAATAAGAAATAGACACGAGGGACCTAAACTACAGACCAGGAATTCCAATAGCATAGAATACAAAGTTACGACTAAGTAAAGCTTCCTTACTGCTACCACAATCACCAAGCTACCATTCCGCTACCACAATCACCAAGCTACCATTCCGCTACCACAATCGCCAAAACAACTTTCCTGCCACCACACTCACCAAGCAGCAACCACCCCCTGTTGCGCTCACCCCCACCACCATCTTCTCGACGCCACCACCACTATCACCACCCACCCCCACCAGCATTATCCTCCCTTGTCATGCCTCGCTCATTGTGATGCTTGCAGCTGGGTGCCGAGATGCCCTTGTCGGTGAGACCCCTGCATCCTATACCGTCTTCACAACCATCCTTCTATCTCCTTCCTTCCTTCTTTTTCTAGCCAATCATTCTCCCTCGTCTCACTGTTTCCCTCTTCTACGTCACTGCTTCCTCCTCCTCCTCTCTCCACTTCATCCTAGCTCCCACGTACCTTCCTCCTCTCTCTCTCTCTCACCTAGCTTAATGAGGCAAGCCTCACAGGTGTCCACATATAACAAACGACCCAGTCTTCATGCACTCTAAACTTGGTACCTTAAACAAGCGCCTCTGCGAGTCTGGCGAAGGTGTATCAGATGAACATAAATAATACCTCTCGTATCAACCAAAATCACCAGTGACAAGCGTAGTAAGGCGGCGCGTCTGGCGTACCGTAACGCCACACCAACGGACTCGGCCGGTCATCTCGAATGGTTACATGTTTTTTTTTCAGATTTAGCTACTCAGAACGACGTGTCCATGTAGCACGGGTTATGGTGAGCCCTAGAACGCCTTAAAAATCTAAATAGCATACACATACACCATCGTGCACGCACGTATGCACACACGCCTACACACACTCACATGGAATGGTTGACAAATGGAATGCATTAGGAAGTGATGTGGTGGAGGCTGACTCCATACACAGTTTCAAGTGTAGATATGATAGAGCCCAGTAGGCTCAGGAACCTGTACACCTGTTGATTGACGGTTGAGAGGCGGGACCAAAGAGCCAGAGGTCAACCCCCACAAGCACAAATAGGTGAGTACACATGGCAGTGGATGCTTATATTGTCGGAAGCTTCAAAAACGTCATTAGACATCTTACCGAGAAGACGGGACAACACAAACACAGCTCTCATCCTGTCACTAAACTCCTACACAAAGCCCTTTTCCAGCTGTCTAGTAATTCCTCCACTGACTAGTGAAGAATTGTGGACTATACGTGTTATGCATCTAAACGCTCACCTGCGTTAAGCCATGCGTATATGTCTAAATCTAGCTACACTTGAGTGCTAGCATGTGTATGTGCAGGTGACCTTGCGTGTCAGTCACCGTGAGCATGTGAGTTTCCGCGTATAATTGCGTGCTGGCATGCGTCCGTGTGTGTGTGAAAGCGTCCGTGAGTTGGCGTGCACCTATTCGCCTCTCGGAGGGGGGGGGAAGACCGCAGCCGGGCATTGATTATTATTTCTGGTTTCAGGGAAGCGACCTCAGTAGATGCGTGTTGACATTCGTGTCGTGATGTTTCTGCTCGTACGAGCGACCGGTACTACAAACAAACGTTCAATCATCGCACAGGTGACAGTACTAAGGAGGAAAGAACCCCCATAAGAAACAGGAGTAGAAATCCCACAGTAAAAAGAATATAATGCAAATTGCAGGAAAAAACACTACGCTAATAAATATTTATAAGGAACCAACTCACACATCTGAAAGTAAAGGAAGTGACGACGATATTGGTGTCTAATTATCAGCCACGATACTGTCTGCACGCACACACACACAAACATTACTGTATATATATATATATATATTATATATATATATATATATCATATATATATGTCGTACCTAGTAGCCAGAACGCACTTCTTTGCCTACTATGCAAGGCCCGATTTGCCTAATAAGCCAAGTTTTCGTGAATTAATTGTTTTTCGACAACCTAACCTACCTAACCTAACCTAACTTTTTCGGCTACCTAACCTACGAAACGTCGCAGCAGCAGTCCGCAATACTAGGAATCACATGAGACAAGCCCATGACATTACTCTAACAAGAGAAATGTTGAACAAGAATACTTGCATAATAGACAAAACCCAAGATTCAAGAAGATTACAAATTCTTGAGGCAATTCACATAAGAATAGAGCGACCTACCATGAACACCCAAATCACGGAACTATTTACTCTACCCACCATGAGAGTAAGGACAAGACAAGAACATATCGATGCCAACACAGAAGACAATGTCCAACATAACAGGCCAATTACACTGGATTAATCTTTGTGTTTAGATAGGAGATGCCTCGTATGGGCCAATAAGCCTTCTGCAGCCCCTATGTTTATCCCTTATGTATCCCCCCATGTTTTCACCTTCATTGTATTATCACCTGACCTAATGCGGGTATAAAATCAACTAATATTGTAAGATCTGTTCACTTGAGAATGAACCATGGAGGTTCGAAACGTCGTGCAAATTATACAAATAAGTGTAATACACTCTATAGTAAATCACTTCTTTTCTTCACCTTAAAAGTACGAAAATGAGTTTTGGAGAACTCCTATTTCAATTAAGCCCTGATGCTAAGAAAATAGTTAGAGGGATAGAAGCCCTAAACCAGAAAATAATAAATACAGAATATGCGGTCATATTCAATGAAACATGTTTGAAAGAAAACCTGCTGCCAGTATACACCAACATATATATATATATATATATATATATATATATATATATATATATATATATATATATATATATATATATATATATATATATATATATCTGATTTTATACAAAAAATGAACTCATTATATATATATATATACTCATTAAATATACAAATTACGAAACAATATTTGGGAAAGGCATAAAACTTTGTATGGCAATCTGTCAAAACAGACATTAACGCCCTATGTGCAGGGTATGACCCAACTGCCACCACCACCACCACCACTACCCAGGGCATGACCCAACTGCCACCACCACCACCACCACTACCCAGGGCATGACCCAACTGCCACCACCACCACCACCACTACCCAGGGCATGACCCAGCCACCACCACCACCCAGGACACTCCTGTACTAGACACTCCTGACAAGACCATAAAGTTCCCCCTCTCTGAGAAGAGAGCCACACTTACCTTGCTCACTATCAGGGGCTTGTCTCCACCTCCCTGCATGCGGAACCCCCACGGGTAGCCGCCTCTCAGCACCACCAGGACACGCACCATCGTGGGCGTGGGGAGAGAGGCGTGGGCGTAGGGAAGAGGCCAGACACAGTGTGGGCGTGGTAGCTACGCACACACAGACCTCAAGGCACGGATCGTAAACATTGCGTCCGAGCGGGTGCGGCTGGCGTTACATGGTGATCGATTTCAACTATAGACGCTTGTAGAAACAGTACACAAGTCGGGGTATTTCCACACCTACTCTCCGACGAAAGAAAAAATTACAAATGCGACGTTCAGCGGTACATTGAGGCACCGTGACTACAAGAGCACTTATCCACCAGCTGCACTGCACCACGTCAGTGTCTGTCACAAGCCCTCATGACACCAGGTGGCAGATTAGCCTTCAATGTGTCAATGTTGTCAAAATCCTCTTTACTGTACACCGACGCAATGGCTGAGTTGTGGCTGAGTGCTTCTGGGCTCTGGCTGAGTGACACCGTATAATCTAGCTCTTATGTAAACCCAGTGTGGTGTGGCTGTGTTAACCCAGTGTGGTGTGGCTGTGTTAACCCAGTGTGGTGTGGCTGTGTTAACCCAGTGTGGTGTAGCTGTGTTATCCTAGTGTGATGTGGTTGTTAACCCAGTGTGGTGTAGCTGTGTTATCCCAGTGTGATGTGGTTGTGTTATCCCAGTGTGATGTGGTTGTTAACCCAGTGTGGTGTAGCTGTGTTAACCCAGTGTGGTGTGGCTGTGTTAACCCAGTGTGGTGTGGCTGTGTTAACCCAGTGTGGTGTGGCTGTGTTAACCCAGTGTGGTGTGGCTGTGTTAACCCAGTGTGGTGTGGCTGTGTTAACCCAGTGTGATGTGGCTGTGTTAACCCAGTGTGATGTGGCTGTGTTAACCTAGTGTTGTGTGGCTGTGTTAACCTAGTGTTGTGTGGCTGTGTTAACCCAGTGTGGTGTGGCTGTGTTAACCTAGTGTTGTGTGGCTGTGTTAACCCAGTGTGGTGTGGCTGTGTTAACCTAGTGTTGTGTGGCTGTGTTAACCCAGTGTGGTGTGGCTGTGTTAACCCAGTGTGATGTGGCTGTGTTAACCCAGTGTGATGTGGATGTGTAAAACCAGTGTGATGTGGCTCAGGTACCCCGCTATAAGGACGAATGTGTACTGAAGATGAATTCTAAGCGGCCGCTCTACGAGACTAACACATTCCATATATTAGAGTTTGTATATGAATGTTTTGTTTGTATATTAATACACAACAAATGTGTTTGTTGTGTATTAATAGTAACTCATTCTCTCTAGAGTGTGTGTGTATTTACTTTTTATGCCTGCTGAATCCAATCTACTTTTGTTTTGATTATATTCTACATATATTTCTCTTTAGTATATACACACGCACACATGTCCCTAGGAAGCAGCCAGTATCATCTAACTCCTGGGTATCTATTTACTACTAGGTTAACTGAGGCCTCAGGTGAGGAAAAACTCTGCACATCGGGAATCGAACCCGGGCCCTTAGGACTATGACCCCAGAGCACTGTCCATTCGGCCGCAAGGCCGTGTGTGTGTGTGTGTGTGTGTGTGTGTGTGTGTGTGTGTGTGTGTGTGTGTGTGTGTGTGTGTGTGTGTGTGTGTAACTTCATGCATATAATGAGTCCCGTATAAACCATATACAAGTGCAGCTACCACAGAAGCGACATCGTGGATCACTTGTATCGAATCATTTACATATCTACTTAAGCAACTACAGTATAGACAAACACCAGAAATCGGGAGCAAAGGTCCCCTAACTGGCAATGCTAACGAGGTGTCCTCATTACCACACGACACGGCGGCTCTGCATCACTTATTATCAACTGCGGTAGTGGCATTATTTGCTGCCTCGCCTACCTTATCTGTTGTGGCTTGCTGTGCACTCCCACTATCGTTCATCTTTTCTATGGGCGTGAAACCCCAAATTGGGGTCATCTCTACATGTGGTAATTATCCGCCATGTGTTCATACCGGGCTACATATGTGACCTTGATCGCTTAACACTACTGCAGGTGGAGGGGAAGATGCTCACGCCGCTCCACGGGCACCGACCACCTCTCTCTCCATCAGGCAGTGAAAATAAGAATCACAAGGCATTACTTCCTTGCAGATCCCTGTCCTGTAAGTGTATGGCACTGTCTCTCCCCCTGGTGTGTGGGGACAGGTGTACTGGTGACGGCACTCACTACTCCAGGTGCCGACACTCGTGGCGTCAGGAGTGCCACACCACACAGGCGGCCCTCGCACTCACTCGCACACACACACGCACACTTGTCCCAACTCAGCTGAACTGCACGCGGCAGCTCCATGCTCAGATTATTGCCTTTTCTTCACCAGACTGTAGCTATGTGGCGCCCTTTTAGCGTTCAACTGCCCGCTGCTCGGATAACCCAACATGTGGGAAAATATGCCGCATATGAAGAGGAATTCTGCTACTTTCCCTTGTGGTTACAGCTCAACGTGTCCTGCTGTCGCGTTATATATCATAGTGTAATGTTTAAAGTCAGGACCGACATTCATGACTGTAGTTTATTAATTCACCAACGAAACTTTTTGAAACAACGTTGCCAACGCGTATTTTGTAAATCTCATGTCCTGGGAGTTGATAATTTCGCTGAGTCCATTTGACAGCTAATGTCGGTCTCGTACAGCATAAGCACACGCTCTGATAACAGTCTCTATATACACTCACATAATGAAAAAGCTTTAAGCAAATAATGTTTCAGTAGATGTGGAGACAGAGATGCCTGATCAATATCATTCAAGTCCGCAGGCGCGATTTTGAAGTAAATACAACCATAGAAAATGGTCTCGTAAGCGACCACTTTCTTTCATGTCTCATGGCAAACTAAGCTATTCATTACTAGTGCTAATAAAATGTATAACATTTACCTGAAGATAGACCACTATCTATAAAAATAGTGGTCTCGACGGAGATAGGAAGCTGGCGGCTTGTCAAAGTTCTCCAAGTTTTTCATTATTATAGAACTGATCAAATGAGCTGGTGGCACTTTGGACAATTTGTTAGTCATTAGTGTCAGGACTGATTTAATTTGTGTACGAATTCATGCAGTAACAAGAACGCCAGTGATTTTAACATTTATAATACACAGCTAATACTGCACAAATTCACGAGAATAGGCAACTTCTAACCACGTAAAATAATTAGTTGCACAGTGCAAATTACCTCCAGCATTTCGTAATGGATATAATTAAGTAACAAACAACAATCTCTGCTTTTAAATAACACACAACCCCCTCTGTTTAAATCCCGAAACATGCTAAACCTAAACTTACTCCACACACATTCTCTTGTGCTATTTACATGTACAAAACCTTGTACCTAAGTGCAAATCCTGATCTGAAACTCTTCATTGCCGGATGTAATCATTTTATTAATTCTGCTAGAATTTACCTACTTAAAATTATCTGTTGGATTAAGGACCTGCCCGAAACGCTGCGCGTACTAGTGGCTTTACAACATTGTAAATACTATGCTATGTATTCTCACAAACCCAATGTACCTTCTTGTACATAAATAAAATAAATAAATAATAGAACCCATAATCACCACACCAGAAATAAATATATCTTTGATATCCCCAGAGTCAAGCTAATTATGTGCAAACACTATGCAAATAAAGGGACCTAGTCTATGGAACTCACTCCCTAACCAATTAAAAAACTGTCCAACCTATGCACTGTTCAAAAGTAAAACAAAAACGTATCTAATTTCATCCTCATAGTTTCCTACCTAGTGCTTTAAGCTCGCACTGTATCTTGTGCTACCCACTCCCACAATATACGGGCCTAAGCCAAGCAACTTTACCAGTGTAATCTCTGTTATCAATTTGTATTATGGATGTTTTGATGAACGCAAATTTTACGACAATGTACCTATTAATAATCCTCAGATTATGCTACAATGTACCTGTTGATAATCCTCAAAATTTACTACAATATACTTATTAATAATCCTTAAATTATGCTACAATGTACCTGTTGAGAATCCTAAAAATTTACTACCATATACCTATTATTTTTCTTCAAATTATCTTACAATTTACCTGTTAATATCCTTCACATTTTGCTATAAATTACCTACTTAAAATTATCTGTTAGATTAAGGACCTGCCCGAAACGCTATGCGTATTAGTGGCTTTGCAAGAATGTAAAATTAATGCTATGTACTCTAATAAGCCCAATGTATCTTCTTGTATAAATAAATACATAAATAAATAAATATATAAATAAAGTAGAAGGGGGTACCCGGCTGTGCCTGGAATAGTCTATCTCTACCCACCCACCCATTCCACCCCTCTATCCGCCCCTCTCCTCTCCTGTCCCTTTCTCCCCCTTCCCTTTCCTTCCCCCTTTCCCTCTTACCTCTCTCATTTTCTCCCCTCTCCCCCCCACCCATCCCGTCTCCCTACCCTCTCCATCTTCCCTTCAACCTAGAACAGACATTTGACATTATATATATATATATATATATATATATATATATATATATATATATATATATATATATATACATATATGAGAGAGAGAGAGAGAGGGATATCCTGCTGCACCCGGGTCTCTTCCCTTCTTCCTCACTTCCACTCATACCCCCCCCCCCCCTTTTGAAGACCCCCTCGTCTCTATCCCCCTTTGGTCTCCCCCCTCCCTTTATTCCTCCTCCCCTTTCTCTTATACATATTATTAAACCCTTAAACAACTGTATGGGTCTCTCAGAACTTTTTTATGAAGGCATTTAGGTACACCTATATTTGTGCAGTTGCTCTGCACAAATACAGGTGTAATTTGTGCACTGGTTATTTGTTCACCAATTGGTAAACTAATACTCCCTAACTGTTGTGGGTGGTAAGCTGCTAACCAAATTAAGCACCACCAGATCTGGAAAACGACTTCTATTCATGCTGAAATAACAGTGAAGATAATAATACTTAGAAGTACTGTAGGAGTACTTCAGAAGGCTCCCGGGATAAGCACAACACACGTACACTGTCGCTACATCTGGCCAGCCAATCCTCCTAAGGTTTCACAACGTCAAGAAAACGGTCAATTTAAAGTGTCCTCGCCTAACCTACAAGAGGACCCAAAACAGAAAACGGGACAGTACGTCACTTTCGCCAACCGCTTCCATTTTCTAGTACGACAAATTTTGGCCTTACGTAACGCATAGGAGCGAAATGCGACGTTTTCTTTGTAGGTTTATTACAACAGTTACGTTATTTAACATTCGTTGTTACCACTTTCTACCCAAAAAGGGATATAGTTAGTGCACAATGTAGGCAGCTGTCAGCGTTGTCTGTCAGCTGACAGTTTTCATTATCTGTAAATCAGTTTTCAAAGTCATCAGTCAGGTCACATGCAGTCAATCATCAATCAATTCTCATCTTAGCAAGTCACCAATATACTCAAAACAGACATTTCAGTTCCACGTTGTTCTATTGAACAATTAAAGCACGTCCCATTAATTTTCTAATCCTTCTCAACTGACTGTATTGCAATTACTACAATTTATTTATACATTTCATTCAATATTATAAAACTATGTAACATTTAGGTCACAAAGAACAACCTTAATAAACAACATAACAAAATACAAAATGCAATACCCCCCCCCATCAATATCGAATGGCGCTACAATTAACCTTCCGTAATGAATACAGCCATTGTCGTAATATTTGATACCATGTTGGACCTGTAGCTCACATGTGCTACACTCAATACCAGAGTACTCGAGCGGACACTCCGCATTTAAAAATTGTCGAAAATAATGAAATAAATTCCAGCGGCGTATGACTATAGACGATAGCGTCATATTCTACCACATGACCCTAGACGATAGCGTCGTACCCTACCACATGACCCTAGACGATAGCGTCGTACCCTACCACATGACCCTAGACGATAGCGTCGTACCCTACCACATGACCCTAGACGATAGCGTCGTACCCTACCACATGACCCTAGACGATAGCGTCGTACCCTACCACATGACCCTAGACGATAGCGTCGTACCCTACCACATGACCCTAGACGATAGCGTCGTACCCTACCACATGACCCTAGACGATAGCGTCGTACCCTACCACATGACCCTAGACGATAGCGTCATACCCTACCACATGACCCTAGACGATAGCGTCGTACCCTACCACATGACCCTAGACGATAGCGTCGTACCCTACCACATGACCCTAGACGATAGCGTCGTACCCTACCACATGAACACCAACACTTGGGAAAGGTCACTCAACTGTCCCTAGTCTTGTGATGTGTATTGTATGTATGAGATTATGTCGGGACAATTATTACAATTAATGGAAGTGTTAAAGATCTTATCAGAACACATAATGCCAGGAAAGAAAGTCCGAAGGTCTGACTCCCTGGTCATGTACGTTCACCACAAGTACAAACTAACACCTTATGAACCTTATTTATTAACATCTAATTTATAAAATATAAATATTGAGAGAGAGAGAGAGAGAGAGAGAGAGAGAGAGAGAGAGAGAGAGAGAGAGAGAGAGAGAGAGACACACACACACAAGACAGCAACACACAGCCCTACAATACCTCTTTTGCGTGAAGTAGCGGGAAGATATATATTACAAAAGGTCATTTCTATTATCTGCAATTTAACTGGAGCACGTAAACCCAAAAGTATTGTTTTACCACCGCCAGACGGAGAACAACGCGAAGCATAAAGTGGCGTTGTATTTACCTCCTGACGTTGTTGCCATAGCGACAAAGCCCTGGCTGTACCCAAATGCCCAGTTGAGCGAAGGTGCCAACACCGAGGCCGCGCTCAACTCCCAGTAACCTACGCTAAAGTGCCACCTAAAAGAGCTTGGAACACACAACCACATCTCAGAGGCCATAAAAATATGAAGCTAAAGTCAAATATTTACGCGTTATATTATTTGTATCGAGACTAAACATACTTGGAATATACTAAAATATTTTATAAATGAGCCATTCAGAAGTTAATTGATCACACAAAGTGTAAAAAAAATTATATAATTAAATACTTCTAATGACTAAGTTTCTGGGCACAATGGGGTCCTGCAAATAAAGTTTCCAGGAAGCACAAACTGAAAAAGACTTGTTAATACAAACCTTCTCCTCATTCTTCCCCACTCTCTCCCTCCTCATCATACCTTCACCCTCACTCTCCCCCTCCTCATCATACCTTCACC